GATTCTAATTCCATCGCCCAGTGGTTTTAGGTCCTTGTCGATTTAGTGACAAACGAAAACCTGTGCTACTTGCAGCACATTCCATGGCCACCCGGTGTCCAAAAAGTCAGCAACCACAACTTCTCGCGAGAATACACACGGTTTCTGTGCAGTCATAGCGTTGTAGCTAAGGCAGTGAAGGTCACCCGAATAAGGTCATTGGGCCTGTCTCACCGTTGCTCTGGCATAACGGGACTCGAACGGAAAGCAACTCTCGGTCACGCATAGGAGTCTGCCTGCCTGCCTGCCTGCCTGTGTAACTTGACTGAGTAACTGAGCCACAAACTAATAACGAAATTAATTATCTAGATGTACCAGCTAACTAACCAATCAACGACATAACAAGCAAGGTTATTAACTAACAAACTGATTAATTAAGTTTCTAACTAACTGACTGACCCACTGTTTAAGTACGTAGCGAAGTATCCAGTCACGAGTGACTGAGTAACGAACTAATAAACCATTTAAGTAGGTATTTAACCGAGTAATTAACTGAAATACTAACTCTGTAACAATTGTAAGTAATTAAACAAACAAGAAAGCAACGAATCGAAAAACGATCGAGATAGCAAATTAAATAGATCGCTAAGTACCTCTCAGCAAGTAACTAAGTACCACATATAATTAACAAACAAATTAAGCATATTACTGGAAACAAAACCTGACACACAGTCCACTACTCGTCCTCAGCTGACGCAATATTGCCAAAATCCACTTAACCGAGATCCACTTTAATATTATATGCAAATTTCGTCCCTGTTTCAGTGGGTTGCCCTACGTTGCGCACGTAATTGTGTAAAAAGAGGAGAACATCTAAACACGACATGAAGAAACACCTGCCATGCGAATAACAAACAAACAAACACAATACATACATGATAACCTCGAATCAGCATATTCCGTCAGGTAGCACAAACATGGCGATCCAACAAACAAACAAATCCGGGTCTTTAACCCTTCCAATGATGAATTGTTACGCGAAGCAACGAAGCCTAGAAATCGTTCTACGCAGCCTAGACACGTAAGGATACTCAACGTTGCTTGTAAACTCGCTGCTGTAGTGTGAACGACCGATAAGTCAAGGGCTTCTGCTTAACAGTACGTGGCGTTCTTTACGAAGACTTGCTGCAGACTTAGCCATAAAATATGCGAGAATTTGAAATCAACTTCATATTACGCCCTGCAGTCTCACCTTGAAAGTTTATAATCATTTCAATCTCCTGCTATTATGCAAACTGTATGTTCATTATCGTTAAGAAGACGTGGAACTGGATTCTGTCCTGAGCCAGCTGATGCCAGAACACATCTCACACCCTATTTGCACAAGACATAATTCATTTTTGCGTTATATACGCAGATGATCTACGTTCCCTTTCGTTAAATTTTCTTACCGTCGATCTGACAAGTCTTGGCCCTGCGATGATTAAAATAAAGAACTCAGCAGATAATCGAGTTGAAACAAATTGTGTTGACGCTCAATTAGAAACGACGAGATTATTATGAACAGAATAGGCCCAGCCTGGACCTTTCGATTTCTATCGCCAAAGCCTCGTGTCTGAACTCACATTGACCCTTACGAAACGTAGTGAAGGAAAGTTCTGTTCCGCTCTGAATGCAGTACGTGCTTAATTATACGGACAGCATTATGTTCAAAGCGACAAAAAGCCTTTCGGTGGAAACGAAAGGCAATTTGTTGTGTCATGATTTATCAGTTCAATAAATAGACTTAGAAGCAAACGCCTTTCATTTTGCAAACGCAGCGAACATGTTCAATATCTCCGCCTACGAATCCTGGGATGTCGATGTTCGGTCCCTCGGTAGAGACTGAAACCGACTTCCACCTTCTGTATCTTAAATACTGGGTAAGAATGCATGATTTTGAATATATTGCTTAAGCCACAGACCTGATTTCTACGACTGTGCAGAGCCTGCAATTCTACTGTTTCTTAATGGACTGAAAAATCCCAGGCTGTGGCCTGGTACCTTACGTCTGTTGAAACTGCAGACATTTAGTAACGAAATGTTCCCACCATAGTCATAATATCATGGTGTGAGACATTACCACCTGCACTGGATGACGAAGCTTCTGTGTTTCGTCCGGGGCGATGTAATTACGCCAGTTCAGGGTTTTCATTTAAGGTGCAAAATAAGCCGTTTCTTGTTCGACGGTGTATCCATGGTAAATACATTCGCAATTTTAAACATGAAAGACATTAACCCAGAAGAATATTCTTACCGGCACTACTAAATATGATATTTATTCAGAACAAGTGGTCTGTGTGGCTGAACGACATATCTCGGGCATAGCATATAAAGGGTTGAAACGCTGGGATACATAACAAGTAATCTGTCATGTGGCTAAGGATGAAACTGGTCGGCAAGATTTAATGTCGAGCTCGTCTTTAGAATCTCGTCTGTACTGACGGTGGACGACTGGCTGACACTTCTTTGGACTGGCGTTAAAAGCGCGTCGTTTGCTTCCGGAAATGGCTGCCATCAGACCGGAAACGCTGAGGCTGAAGTTGCTCTGGCCCGGTCAGGGGTAAAGGTGTCCAGTGACGCAGAACTCGGAAGAATACGATACTTCACTATTCTAAACAAATTAGGCAACAAAAGCGAAAGTTACTATGCAAAGTGAACAATGTTTACCCTGTGCCTGTCTCCATCCATCTTATTTTTCCCCTCTTTCTCTCAACATTCTTCGCCTTTGTACCGTAATCACAGTGCAGCGATCAGCTGCAGTGGTATTTTGAAGACCACCTAATTCACGATCATATATCGTATTACATTTTTCATATTAATCCGCCAACATCTTGCATTATTACGTATTACTGTAGTTAATTTTTAATGTTAAAACGGAAATACGAAGGTAAAGGCAGACGGACAGACACAGCAAGCGCATTACGCGATTGGCAGGTCATAGCAACTGCGTCACTCCCGGAATAAACATTCAGAATCTATCTAGTAATAATCGTATCCATAAAACGAAACTTTATTTTTTTTAAAAAAAAAAAAAGCTAGCTTGCTGTACGCAGTAGTGAGAATATTCTTTTAACTTGTAGCAGAACTTTCCGTGTTGCGACAAACCTCAGTCTTGGGTTTGTGTAGAGAAGCAAGAGATTTACTGAATACGCAAATTTACCGCTAATAGGAACCGCTGTTAATTCACATGAAGTGGCATGTTTGAACTTTCTAGTGAAAGTGATGTGACATTATTTTGTTTTATCCAGCTGTTTTTCGCCCTTCTTCCTTCTTTCTTCCTTCCTTTCTCTGCGCAGAGGCTGACAAAGAGCACAATCGTCATGTTTCGTCTGCCCATGTCATCGCTTGATGACCAAGATCCTGAAAACAAGTGTGATAACTACTGAAGAAAATTTTAACATTTCTAAAGTCTTTTTTAACATGTGTTTGTAGTCGAAGTTATTTCAATTGCGTTTGTGTCCTAGGTCAGAATGAAAAAATGACTATAAATAGGTAGTAAGGATTTGCAAGGAGCCGGTCGTCGACTAGAGAAACTGAGCAAAACTATAAATACACTAGATTCGATTAGACCGTCCCCTTGAGTCACAGGTACAAGACGATCGAAGCGATACTCGTCATGCAACAAGTGACCTACCAAACATCTACGGAAAAAGCCGACGCACTGATGGCTATTGTCGTAGAAGGCGACAAGTCGTGCCGATGCGTGGACGCCAGACCTTTTTCGTAATGAAATTAAATTCTAGTTTACTGCGTTTCATTTTCAGTAGGCTTCTGGGACAACTTAACTGTCGTGTTTAGTGAATAATGCGAGAAAATGGGGCTGTGCGTGAAACTGATCATCCAAAATGCATGGAGCCTTGTCTCCTCCCTGGCGTGTTGCAGCGGTGTGTCTAATTGTGGGCGTCGTGACGTACCCTGCCGGTTGGGACGCCAGCGAGGTGAGGCGCACCTGCGGCACATCCGCGGGCCGCTACGAGTTGGGGGAATGCGGTCTGCGGTGGGCCTACCTTCTGGGCGTCATCGGCTGCCTGGACGCCGTCATCTTGGCGGCGCTCGCCTTCATCCTTGCAACCCGCCACGTCAGACTGCAGGTCGAGCCAGGGTACACGGCCAACGGCTCGCTCTACAAAGGTGAGAGTGCACGCGCCATGATACTGCAAACATAATAAACTTCATTTACATCCACACCGCATATGAAAATCTCGGTTAAGCTGTCATAATGGCATATATTCCGATGATTAGAACATGTTTTTAATTTAGGTAACTTCTGTATCATATAGCACAATGCAAAGATAGTCAGAATTAAAATCGCAACTCAGTTCATAATAGATTTGATACAGCGTTGTTAAATAACAAATTTAATACCTATCAAGTGATTACAAAACGCATTTCTTGAGAGAAACGACAGAAAGCAACTACAATATCGAATAATAACTTAACGTAACTCCTGTACCGCCGCTAAGTGTCGATGCAGAGACCCGGATTTGTAAAGCATGAGTTCATGACGCAACGCGCTGTTATCCCGTCCTTTCACTACTGACCTCAGGCAGGTGTGATTGCAGGTGAAGTGAATGGAGGTTTCGTGGGCGATGCACAGTCAGTAGGCGGGTCCAGGAAGTCGCTGAACCTCCACCCCGTGCTCCTAATGCCTCAACCTCACCACCCAGGAGGTGAGACCGACCGCTTCTCCGAATTCTCTAATCGCACCGGTCGCTCCAAGTCGTCGGCATATAGAGCCGAGTATGCGTCCAGCATCCAGAACTTCCAGCTGTGAGGACTTCTGATGCAATAATACAGGATGTTAATTTTGTAATGGAACCATCTTTAACCGAAGACATCGCCGGGACATTCCACTTGTAATTCTGGGACATGTCCGCGGCTCTCAGTTTGATTTATGGGGGGTTTAGTTATATTGCAGACTGATTTGTCTGAACCGTCTCCTCGCGTCCATGCGGATAGATTTGGAGATGAATGTCCCATTAACCATCCGTCTGTATGGTGAAATAATATTCTTGAATTCTACTTTTATGCCAGCCTTGTATTCTGTAAGTATTCTGGCCTCTGTTTACTTCATTCGGTTTCAACAGTTAGTGTTGATACGAGGAAACAAAACAAAATTTTTCACCAAAACATAATTTATGTAACGTTTGTTTACTGTGTGATACCCCGTTAAGTAATTTCTGATTTTAACAGTGTCTAGCATTCCCTTTCCGCCACATAAAACAGTAGAATGGAAATCAATAAAATTAATTTCCGTTCCCACGTGTATCCAGAATTTCTGAAAAAACACGACTTGTTCTGCATTAAACCGGTTGTATATTTTATTAGTCATAAAAGAGACATATGTTTGTGTTAAATGCAGTAATCTCGTTCTTCTTAAAAGAAAACTAGTTAAAGAGCAATGTAAAATGACTTGTCTTCTGTTTGAAGGACTATATCCTGTGCCAGCTCAGTCCAGTCCACACCTTCATATCCCATTTCCCTATCATGCCTTGATATTGAACTCCCGAAGGTGAAAGTCTAACCATTCCAGTCGTGATCTTGAGTGAGTTTCGTAATGCAGAAGAAACAGAGTTACAGTCTCCTAGAGATTTATTGCATCCACTCCAATCAAAATATTGCATCCTCTGAACTATCCCAGATGAGAAAAATACAGTACTGCACACTCACTCACCCGTTCATCATTCATCACCTTGATGATGGAGGCAACAAGGGCCTCTGAAACATTGGTGAACTTCTACCACACTACACGGCGCTACAACCTAGAAGAGGGCCATCTTCGTGGTTCACATCGTTTACTTTTAAGCAAACATCGTATGACAGGATCCAGAAAAAGAATTTTAAAAAAGAAAAAAAAAAGCGAAAGGAATCGTGGTACACGAACTTCAACGCGTCGGCACTTATTGATTATGAGCACCATGCCTTTTACCACGCGGCTATTTCAAACACTTACTAAATCATATACTAACTTTATATTACTATACATCATTTGTTCTATTCAGCAAGCTTTCGCAGAGCGTTTGTCATTTGTTGTGTGTTTGTTTGTGATGGAAGAGGTTAGACATTGGGTCCGTGTTATTTTTATAGTGAAACAGTACAGTAGGAAACTTAGTGTTAACATCACAAATGCCAGCAGTGTTAAAGAATTGTTTATTGGATTATAAGTGTGGATTAAGCGTGTCCCTGTCGAAGTGGGTTCCAGAAACTTTCTGGACGGCATACATGGCTACGTGGATAGGTAAGTTTCCTTAGTTCAGGTTCAAATGATAGTCTTTACTGTAATTGTTGGGTATATTTATATGGTTTTGTACATTACAAAGAAAAAAAGATTAAGTAATGGAATTCTCTGTAAAATGTGTTTCTGATCAGAATTAACCTCACAATCTTTTCGTGTAGTTTCATCTGTTGGTCAGTAGATGGCAGAAGCAACACTATGTCCAATGCAAGTGCTTGTAGTTGTATTTTGAAAATTTGCCAATAGATAGCAGAAGCAATACTACGTCCAATGCAAGTGCTTGCAGTTGTATTTCGAAACTTCGCCAATAGATGGCGGTAGCATACATTCTTGACCCCACAATCGATAACCTCACTTAGGGAAATGACTTGTGAATTCGCCTGTAGATGGCTGAAGTGTGTCTGTATTGGGAAAAAGTTGGGATGCCGATTAATTTATTTCTGTAATAAAGTAATAGATAGGTGGAGACGAAGGAAGTTGCGTCGTGTGGAATTACATTACAATGATTTTAAAATGAATGACGTTGCTGTTGCTGAATTTGTGGTTATTGTATTTTTGATATTATTGTTTTATCGTCATTATTATTCTAAAATGTGACCAAGAGCGGTGCTGATGTGCGTTTATCGTTGTTTCATCATCATGTTATATCACATCTTCTTCTTGGTCTTGCAAATGGACGTATTATAAGAGATGTTTCTCACGAAAATGTATGAATTCCTCCTCTGTTCCATTCTAGCCAATGACCAGTCTGTCATTGCTTAATGTCCTTCGTTATTATAAAACTACTAATGACGTATCAATCACGTAATTCCCAAACACATATTCTGTCTTGCTGTTCAATTACGTACTCTGTTCTAAGGTCAAAGTGTGTTCTTAAGTAATTTTTTTTTCAAAAACTTGGAAACTGGTGGTTTTCCCTCGAAACAAGAGGCGTTTTATACCCCGACAAAACAAGTGACAAAATGATTGTTTTGTGCGTCCTGATCTTCAGCGCTTTGATGGAGTGATAACAGTTTTCAATGTTTCCAGAATTCATTCTTCTCCTAATTTCTGATTATTAATATCGTTCCCAGGTATTTTTATTTTTAAACATTCTCACACAGTTATACAGTGAATTAGCCATTATCGCTGCTAGCTGTGGTCGAGCGACGGGTGGAATAATATTTCCTTTTTTGTTTGTGCGTGGATAAGGAAATAGTTTAGAAAAGAATGTCTGTCACAGCGGGAATCTTGTTACCAGAAGGGGTTATCTTGGGGGAGGATTGGGGTTGAAAGCTGCTGGCCTAGTTTTTATAACGAGCACCATATTATTTGCCATTCAATCGTGAAGATTCTTGTAACGAACACAGTTAATTTGAGCGCCCAAAGCGAGTGGGATTTGTTTCAATGATTCCAGTTATAAACATCGGGTGTGTTCGTAATCTCAGGTTTGGATGCCGGAAACTTGTGTTTTGCTGCGGTGGCAGAACACTGCTTGAGGCTTTTGTAAACAATGGCGCCACTTGTCAACTGAAAGAGACAACAAAGGGTGTGTATGTCCCTCATGAGCTACGCCGGCTCTCCCCCCAAGTGCCTACATGGCTTATAGTGGTCAAGGTCACAAGACTATCGCAGTTCCTAGATTGACGTAGGCAGAAGACGCATCTGAGATGACGTTCTGCTCTACGAGGCTGCATAAAGTAACGAATTAAGCAAAATCCCTATGAACTGCTTGAGAATTTGATAGTTTCTCGCACCCTCAAAAAATTCGCCACGTTTTATGAGACCCGAAATTTTATTAGAGTTTTCACAAAAGTGCGCCACTGGACCGTGACCTGAGGAAACTGAATCCTGCTGACAGCCTCACAATTAATATTAACTTTCTATGTAGGTTTATGTATAGGTCTTTCAAGTAGTCACGTTCCTTCGGGTTTTCCAACTAAAATGCCGTGTGTATTTCTTGTATCTTCGATGACTGCCACACGTCTCCAGCCCAACGTCTTTCATTTGATCTCCCTAATATGTCGTGACTAATAAGTTATAAATCGTGAAACTCTTCTTTATGTAGCTTTTTGCCATCCTCGTGTTACAACTCCGTCTCTTAGCAACTCTTCAACTGTTTCACATGCCCTTTGACTGTAGAACACGAAGGTTAATTCTCCCTCCCAGCCCTAACTTCTATCTTAATGGTGTCTCCATCTAGTTCACATTTTTCACGAGATACAAAATGTCGTGTAGCAGGTCAGCTCAGCGGTAACAGGCATGACGTCTTCAAATAGACAGGCCCTGAAAGCTCATTTATAAATCACTTCCGTCGTTGAATCTTACTCACAGTCTCAGCAAACAATATGAGTGCGTATAATTCCAATCGCACAAGATATTTGTGGTACTGTTCCGTGAGAGGCAGAGGCCTCGCAGTGGGCCGATCCCCGACCCAAGGAGTCATAGCAAGTGTCAAAAACGGCTCGTAGTAGTTTCAGAAGTTAATTCTGAATTGAAACAGGACAGTGGGTCTAATCCGTGATAAGTGAATAATGATTAAGTAGGCGTACATATGTACGAAATTAAGGAAATTAATATAACAAATTAATATTAATAATTACCTACGAAAATTAATAAAAAAGTTAATATACGAAAAAAGGAAGTTTAAGTAAATATTAAATTAAATTCTAAATAAATAGAATGAATAGATAGGTAATTCAATAAGTGAATGAATGAATCTTTTGACATGGGGAAGTTTTGCTTGCCTCTCTAACAAAACTCCTGGACACGACCACATGGCTCTCTGAATGTGTGTAGGCACGTAGCGAGGAGCCAAATAAGGCAGAATGAAAACAGGTTCGTTTGCAATTAAACGCTCTAATGAAACAGTCAGGCCCTCGTAATTTTGTTGCGAGGCCTGTACTTTAGTAGGTCGACATAATTTTCCTGAACAAACAAAGACCCGTAGTAACATTGTGTAATTCAGATGCAGATTTACCTCGAGGGCAAGATGCCATCATTGCGCGGGGTAACCTTTATTTTGTCGCGTTGCTACCCCTAATTACATAGGCTGTCCTGCGTACACGGCAATAGCTGGACTCTTAACATGGGGAAACCCGGTGCAGATCCACAGATACGTTGGTAGTATCTGTGGATACTCTCGTCTTGATCCTCCTGCTTTATGCTGCCTTTAGTTGCTGGATCAGTCGGCGTTCAGACATAAAAAAACATATTTTTACTTGTTCGTTGTCAGGGGAGAATATAAATTTAACAACATAAGAATTTTGCGATTTATACAAGTCGCCTATTATTGTTCAGGTGGTAAAATGTAGGAGGCTGTGATTTGTTCTAGGCACGCAATTACGCACGCCGTCATGTAGGCTCCTTTGTAGTAACTGAAAGTCGAAATAAAATACCGAAATTACGTATGGCATTTTAGGTGTTGAAAGTGTTAACAAGAAATGTGGGTTAAAGTGTAGTTAGGTGCTTCCTGCACTCAGTCCTTCTTCTTGCACTCGAATTGTTATTACTCCGAGCAATCATACAAATTAAGTTTCTCGCAACGTCTTGAGGCTTCGTCAAAATTACAGAACGCTGACGGCAAGCAGTGCGTTTGTCAGACAGATTACACAAGCAAGCTGCTCACTCCACTACTGGAGCTGGTAGCTGACATCAAATAGCTCTTCTTTCAAGTGCACATCCATTCCCCCTTCCCCTCCCTTCCACCCTTTCTTTAAACTTAATCATCCCCAACATCTAAAGCGAAAACCCTGGCTGACCTCTTGTAATTCCTTTACAAATTTTGACAATTACAGAAGTTGATAAATGTTCTATATTTAAAGTGGCTTTAATTTATGAAGTAATCTCGCGTTTCTATCTGTATACGTATAATTCAAGCTCTTTTATATATGGCAGAACAGAAATAACGTATTTACGCTCGTGGTATGCAACTGATGACCCATGATCTAAGTTCAAGCAAGAATAACTAAAATGATTAATTAGTCTGTAGAGGATTTTAATGACTTTCTTTCACTATTCTTCTTGGTAGTTTTATTCAGTCCCTCCAAGCGAATATCTGAAAAGCAGTTGTAAATATAACATGAAAATTTGAAAGCGTGCATTTTTGTATTATTATTATTATTATTATTAATTATAATCACTTTCAGGGCCATAGAATAATTTGCTTCTTATGTGCCCAAGAAGTGCCGGTCACAGTGGGCTCGAATCCCGCTCAAAGGACCCATACTGGGATTGTAGAGACGCAGATGCGTCTGAGAAGGATTTTAATTTATGGGGTTTGAACGGCGGTCTTCCAGTTGGGGATCATATAAGTTACAGCTGCAACAGTCAGCTGGAAATGAAGGTATCGAGGGATTGAGTTCGGAGCGTTGTTCACGTGACGGAAGCAGGTTTTCTGCAGTTGGTCTTCAGCACGCAGGAGGAATCACAAAAAGTTAAAAGTTTGTCGGTGCTTTGACACGATTTCTTGCATTTCACAGCTAACAGCGACGCGCCGAGCACGTGGCATCGCGTCGTTAAGTTCGTGTGCTTGAGTTATGCTGTCTGTTAGGTTGACATTTCAGACACGCCAGGTGAGAGCCGGCATGAAAATGAAACGAAGTCTCTTAAAAATCAGAAAACACTTGCCTACAATGGAAAACTCGTGGAACTGGAAAGATGACTGACTACCAAAGTAACTCGGTGGCTTTGAATCTACCTTGAAAACAAAATGCTAGGCAACTTTTAACGTAGCAAAATGTAAGACCTAACATAAATCACTTTCTAAATCTACTGAAGAATTTCGGGGGGACGGATCGTTTCATGTTTGGTTCTGTGAAATATTGTGGAAGTGTGCAAATTACGCATGCAGCTACCATCCGGTTTGGGACTTAAAAAAATAAAATTTCAATCTCCATTACTTGAGAGTTTATTTTGTTGGTTTTAACGATGTTTTATCAGTCACTGAAGATAGAACAATACTAACGAAACAGCCATTGCTATGCATAAGTACTCAGTGGAACTGGTAATTAGATAACAGTTAT